CTGGATTTGGGAAGAAACCCCTTTGAATTCAATGGGGCTCCTTTTTGAGAAAAGTAGGGCACTAGTAGGCCCCCAAATGGCGGTGGTATGAAGACCTTGTCCTGGATTAAGGAACGACTTTTTCCAACGAAAGGAGCTAGGTCCGTCGAGAAAACGGCCCCTCCCCAACGAATGGCACAATCCGAATTAAAAAAGATTAAAATCTGGTTTTAACTTTCTGTAGGCAGGGACGTTTCCTAGTCCGTCAGGCACCTCACATCTGCGTCTCGTCCACATTTCTCCCCTGAAGCTGTGGAGCCTTTGTAAAGGCACACATTCTCCCTGTTTAGTTATAGTTGGAGCTTCCTTGTTGAAAAAGGGAAAGGAAATATCAATTCCTCTCCACCCGCCTGCCCTTCTCACAGCTGCAAACTTTGCAGAACGGCTGCTGCTGCTGCTGCTTCATTTAAAGAGATAAAAAGAGATGTTCATTTTAAATGAAAAATAGGTCAGAGTTAAGCAAAGATTAAAAAAGTCTTGGCTTAACTGGGCATCCTTTCTGACCATTAAGACGATGGGCTGCTAATAATAATAAGCAGCAGTACTGCTCCCGTCTTTTTTCCAGCCCGATCCTGAATATGTTTCCAGGGGTGTCATCCAGGCTTACATTGGAGTACTGAAAGCGCTCCCACACTTTCAGTCCTGGAACTTCTCTAGGCGTGTTGCTACACCTAGACTGGATTATTCCTGGTTTTGACAACAACCCTGTAAGGTTAGCTTGGTCTGGGGATACCCCTTTTGAAGGCGGAGGATTGCTCTGGGAAGGCAGCAACTTGCTGCAAGCCACTTGGGCTGCGATGCTGTACTTACACCCCTCGGCATCAACGCCATTCAACTCGGAGGGGGCTTACTTTTGAGTAAACATTTTTAGACACTTGGAGTATTCATGAGTTCGGGGAAGAAATGCGGTTGGAATCCAGGTCTCCGGTTTTGTGGGACCCACAACCCACTGGTTTCCAAAGGGGCAGCCCAGTGGCTTTACAGCAATCCAGCTCCTAAGCTTACTGAAGAGCCACTTCTCAAGATGGAAGATGAAATGATGGGGAGAGCGTCGCCGTTTGCATTTCTCAGACACAGAGGCCTTGCTAGGAAAAGGACAGTATGGGCTAGCTTTATAATGCCCATTGCCAAAACCTAGTGGCATCACTAGGGTTGGTGTCACCCCCCCCCACTGACCTCCCCCCACGCAGACTCCTTAGTAATGTTTGTTGTACTCATGTTACTCATCAATCACATATCACTGAATATAATGGCAACAGTTGTGACATAAACAACTGGCAAAATTAAAATTATACCTTTAAATTACAATGCCATAGCCTGAAAGTATTTACATGTACATACTCGCATGTGATTACAGTGAAGGTTTGAAAAGATGTGACGTTTTAAAGACAGTTTAAAACAGAATTTTTCTAAATAAATAAATAAATAAAAATGATTTTAAAATTTAATTAAAAAACAAACAAACACCAACCCTGGGTTCTCTCCTTTCTCCTTCCACCGAGCCTTGCCCAACCCACAGCACCCCTTCGGTGTTTTAAAGGGAGGCAGAGGAAGGCCAGAGTCTGTAGCTTCCCAAAGTTAAATGTTTGGGAGCAGTAGGGTCACTCTCTTTTAGGATGTCACCTGGTATGGCCCGAACCTCCTGCAGCCCCTATTGACGCCCCTGCCAAAACCAGGCTCCGCATTAGAGCGTTTAGACACTGGTCGGAAAGAAACCGGTTTGAAGCCTCCAAACTGGAGTCATTTTCAATTCAGATTCTCTGCCTCCCCCCTTCCTGCCCTTCTTCGTCAGCCTGTTCTAATTATGGTTTATAGCCGGGCTTTTAAAAAATAGACGGAGTGGGGGGGGGGGGAAGGAGTCGGAGGAGGAGGACTTTCTCTTTCCAAGTGGGCGCCGCCTTAACTGAGCTGCGGAGAGAATTGGCTTTGAGGGGGTTAGCAGAGAATCTGCCAGGATTGATGCAGAAAAGGGGGAGTTTGGAAAGCGAGAAATGTCCTCGGCCTCCCGGTCCTTCCCTCCTTTTCCCTTTCTTTCCTTCTCATTTTAGAGACTGAGACACACACAAACACACACACATACACAGACGGCCTTCAAGTCCTGACTTGCCACGGTCCTAAGGCTTTTAATCCCAATCCCGGGATTTTCTTGGCAGGGTTTTGGCTTTGGTTTTTCCCAGGTGATGGTGGTGGTTTGCCATGAATCTACAATGTAGAAAGAATGCAGTTTGACACCACTTGAATCGCCCTGGATCCGTGCTACAAAACCCTGGGCTTTGTCGTTTTGTCGGCACCGGCACTCTTGACCAGGAAAGGGCAGAGACCTGGCAAAACTACCAATCCCAGGATGGAGCTGCTTCAGCCCTGCGCTCAAACCACTACACCACGCTGGCGCTCCCTAGCTTTTGCTAAACTCCCCTGAAGTACTTGAGAAACTATACTTCCAAACAGAACATTTTGTTGTTGTTGTTTTGTTGATTGCTTTAAAAAAAAAACCCCAAAAAAACCTGGCGACCCATTTATTCACCTGCCCCAACCCCCAGGTTCCAAAAGAACTGAGGAGGAGAGCTTAGGAGAGAGAGGTGTGTTGTCTTTTTTGGAAACTCGCTCCGGGAGATTTCCAGATGGAGGCAAAGTGAGGAGGGAGGGAAAGGGGTCTATCATGGGAGGCTATTTAAACGGATCCCCGCCAGGGTAGAGGAGGGGAAGCACAACCTCGTTACCCGTTACTCCTGCCAAGCCTTTGGCCAGAAGTTACAAACGCGGCTCCTTTAGGGAAGGGCCGCACCGTCCAGTCCTTTCCCGACGTCGCAACTGACACAAAGGCTTTGTGAGCCCAGGAACAGGGGGACCCGATGTCCTCCCCGCAAAGGAGGACAAGGCACCGCAGAATGGAGGACATTCGGGGGGAGGAAATGGAGGACACGACCAAAGAGCAGCTCAAAACACGCCTGGAAGTGTACATTCAAGCTTCTTTCTTGGTCCTGCTCAAAACGGAGGACCTTTTGAAATTCCTTCTGCACGGAAGGCTGAAATGGAGGACAGGTCCTGGAAAAAAAAAGGAGGACCAAGTCTGGCCACTTTGGCCGGGGAGTCCGAATCGTCTTGGCTCTTTGGCCTCGGATGCAATGAGGGGAAATTCAGGGACTGGGGGGGGGGG